CTACATACATACATACATACACACATACATACAAACATGCATACATACATACATACATACATACATACATGCATGCATACATACATGCATACAAACATGCATACATCCATACATATATGCATCTGTACCATCCATGCATGACTCAGCTGCCACTGCCCTACAGTCCGACTTTGGGAACCATGTGCCCCCACCCCACACCGCTTTAGACCCTAGCTACATCCTATAGGTTTAGGGTTTAGGGTTTAGGGTTTAGGGTATAGACAAGCCTAAGCGTTAAACCCAATTCCTCAAAGGAATCCTTCTGGGGGCCTGTACCGGCACCCTTACAGCCACCCTTATATCACTTCAGATGGCCATCCCTTTAAAGGAACCCACAAATAGGGAACCCCCCCAAAAGGCTCCTGTAAGGGCTCCTCTAAGGCTACTCTAAGGGCTTCTTCAACGGCTCCTTTGAGGATTCCTTCCAGGGCTACTTTGAGGATTCATTTAAGGGCTCCTTTGAGGGTCCCTCCAAGGGCTCCTTGATTTCCTTTAAAGGAACCCGAACCAAAGATTTCGGAACTCCGAGCCGCTCAAAAGCAGAGCTCCAAAACCGACAAAGCTCGCTTCGGTAGAGGTTTGGCCTGTGCTGAGTACTCTGGGTCCCTAGGCTTTAATGGTTAGGTTTCAGGGTTGAGGGGTTACAGATGTAGGCTTTCAGGTGCTAAGCTACTAGACTATGATAGTCATCGTTGGCTTGTATTGAAGGACTTTTGGGTTTGGTCATGAAGGTTTCAGAGTTTGGAGGTATAGCTTTAGGGATCCGGGCGGTGAAACCGGTTGCTAAGCCCCAAAATAAACCTCATAACCAAAGCCTCCCTTTAAACCTTAACCCCAGAACCGAGTCTAATATTGGAGAACAACCTGCGGGACAGTTCTTTGCATTGTAAGCCGGGCAGCGGTGGCTGTTATGTCGGCATCTGATAAAATCTGAAACTCAAACGTTTCGGCTTGAGGGGGAGTCTGGTTGTTGTTTCGGAGGGGGGGCAGCATTCGTGTTTAGACAGTACAAACCAAAAACGTACACTCCAGGTATGCAAAGATCAAAAACGATTGGCCTCCATGTCAGTATGCATTCTCATGTCAGTAAATAAGGGCTCCTTTGCATCCAACATGGGGGCAGCTATCTGTCTCACCAGTGGGGTCCTTCCGAGGGTGCACCGAAAGCCCAACACCCTTTCAGAAACGTTCCTTCAGCAAATTAAGGACTTCGTCATTCGCGCTAGTTAACAGAGAACTATCACCATCTTCCTACGCCCAGGGTGACTTGCCTGGACCGCGAGCCCTCCTGCACAAGTCCTCAAGTGCGAGTCCCTAAACCCTAAAGCCTCCCTTGTCACGAAAGTGTCGTGTAAGCATTTAGTCAGTTCAGTACTTATGCCTTGACGACAGGCCCCTGGGCCTCAATCCCTACTGATCCCCTCTATAACTTAAGTAATATTCCTGAAGGAATGGAATGTTGAGTTTCTGTGTACATGTTGGAACATCATGAGTACGCAAAAGTAGATCGCGCGCAAAGCAACTGTGATCTTTATCACTTGCAACGCCCCTGAGGAACCAAAACCCTACATGTGAGATGCAACATACATTTTCTACCGTTTTAAGGTTTCTGCCAAAATTTGCAAGGTCTATAAACCCTAAACCCTAAACCCTATATTGCTTCGGTATGGCGGATTTTGGGGTTTAGGGTTGCCGGCCTCCATGTGTGCATCTGGACATGGGTGGGGAATGGAAACTGCTCCCCACCGCACGAGTACATCTTGAAGAGAGTGCTCACGTTGTACACTCCACCTGGTTTAGGGTTTAGGGTTTAGGGTTTAGGGGGAAGCTCGCAAAACCAAAAAAACAAAGGGACCAATGCCCATAGTTTGAGGAATAGACCGTACCTAGTAGGATTTACGTAAGCTATACCCCTTGATTGAGGAGTACATTGGGCTCTCTGGGTAATCCAGCGACCCGCTTCCCTCCTGCCCATTATTCCTAATGCCCCAAGCCCTAAACCCGCCTCCTTAACCCTTAAACCTAAACCCTAAACCCTAAACCCTCATGCCCCAAGCCCTAAACCCCAGACCCGAGCATGCCGAATCCCTTTGTACCCCTGGTAGCTCCGAAGGGCCCGGGAGGCCTACAAACGATAGCTGTTCCCGGTGTTTTTTGTAGGCTTTGAAACCTTTTGGGTTGAGGGCCTAGGGTTCAGGGTCTAGGATCAGGGTTTAGGGTTTAGGGTCTAGGATAAGGGATAAGGGTTTAGGGTTTGGGATTTCCGGATAAGCTTGCATAAGCTTTCGAGGAGCTGCGGGGTTCAGTGCTCGGGTTTCCAATAACTCGTTCAGGTCTCTCTCATATGGGGTTTCTATCATGTTCCTTTGGGTGTTGAAGGGTATCGGGCTCGCTCGTAACCTGCCAACATCGCCCAACACCGGCCCATCTTCCTATTGGCTGCGCGCCCAAGTGCTCAAGCAGACTCGGCTTGACCCGAGAAGCGAAAGGGTTCAAACCAATCCCTGACATCAACCCTCGAACCCAGCAACACAAAAAGCAACACATCACCGGCTAGCAAGCAACAAAGTCCTCACTCAACCTCGAACCGGTGCAGCAGACCCTGAACCCTTATCAACCCTGACTCCTGGAATTCGGGTAGACCCAAGCCCTAAACCCCTACACCCTAAACCCAAACCCCTGAGCCCGAAACTCGAACAGAGCGAACCCTAGAATCGCCTTGAATTAAAGCCTGTTTGCTAGAGCCCCCTAAACCCTAATTGTGGCTCTCCGTGGTTAGTTATAGGATCTTAAACACATAGTGGGCTCTCCAAGAAAGGGCACCACATTCTAAACCCTCAAACCTAAACCCTTTAGGTAGTTCTGCAATTCTCTGGACCTTCCTCAAACCCTGAGGTCAGCTTTTGCTGCGAGGTGCCGTGGGCGTGGAGTGCCTCGACCAAAGCATGTGACTGCCTGGCACAGAGCCAGTCGGCTGCGCCCAAAAACTCACTCATGGTTTATGGCTTGGGGTTTAGGCTTACTACGGATCGTTTGGCAAATTGGTCGAGTGCTTCTTTCGCAAAGCCGTTTGGAGTTTCGGGATCCTTGAACTCTAACAGAACATAAAGGTCTGAGTAGTTTGCAACGATATTTCCTTTCAGTCCCTATGAAGTCTCAATCATCTATGAACCCCAAAGCCCTATTGCAGTCACCGGGCCCTTTTAATGCAGCCCAGCACCCGGCCTGGGTGGCACCATGCTGTCGTTCAACCCCTGGACGACTTGGACAGCACCTCGAAGGGTTTGCTGGCGTCAAGTGAATCAGGGTGCCAGGGTTTAGGGTTTAGGGCTTTAGGGTTTTAGGGTTTTGGGTCGGGGCCCAAGTTCAAGACTTAAGAACTGCTACGCGCAGATTCGGGTTTCAGGGCTATGAGGAATTCAAGTTGCTGTTTGTACCCGCAGCGGCTCTCGCGCCAAGGAATTAGAGTGTAGGCTGGCGGGTCTACAGTCCCAAAAAGCCCTGTCACCTCAATCCTGGCATTTGGGCCGATGGAAATTGAACCCTTTAGGGTTTAGGGGCACACCTGAAAGTCTAAGGCTCGAGAAAGCCCCAGGCGCGCGGTCTCAAATTGCTCGATGCTCCCTTGGCAACCATTGCTATGGGATCCTCGGACCAGCACTTACTTGTCACCTAGATGCACAGCTATAGCATACCTGGTATGATATTTCATAACACATTGGCCAGGGTAGACTAACTATGCTTATATGTAGGACATTATAGTATATTCTCGTGTATTGTAGTATATTATTGTAATTATTGTATATCATCGCATATAAGAATACATTATCGAGTATCCATAGCCTCATGTAGTGTAGTATAATACAATATGTCATAGTAGCGTAGATGCCTCATGAATAAACCCTCTTTCTTCAACAAGTCCGGATATCAGGAAACGTTCCAATTATATTCTTTATGCAGGGAGAGGGGTTTGTTAATCCGGGGTACGTTATGGTTTTTAAGGGTCTTAGTAGGGAATGAAGCTATAAGACAGCTGGGGGTGATAGGTTTCAGAATTCAAGACTGAAGTCTTCGGCAGCTGGCTCCTGGTTCCTATCCATTTGGGTTTCGGGTTTGGGGTTTAGGGTTTAGGGGTTTAGGGTTTAGGGCTTAGGGTTTAGGGTTTAGGGTTTACTGCTATGTTCAAGGGTATCTGGACTCTTAAGACCTACCTTTTTGAGGGTTTAACAATATGTCTTTGTTTCTGCTAGCCTTCATCAAAACAATACTGATGTTGTACAGAATCCCCCGCTACGAATCCCTTGTCCCCAAACTGGGATATCGCTTTTAACTCTTTATCGTTTTACAAGGCGTCAAGGAATGACGAAACCGGGAACAGGCTGAGGTCTTGGTCCATGTCCCAAGATGTCCACAGGTCTTAAGAACAGTGACAACACCTCAACTCGCCAGTTGGCACGAGCGCCGGATGGGTCATTGTCCTCCAAAGTCACCTCTGCCAAACCAAGGCTATCCTTTTTTGTTATCGTTTTGTTATCGTACTTGTAGCAGCGTAGCATTCCTGGCACCCTCTGCGGTTCTGGACCCGCAGAGCGTATGTGCCCGGCTTCTCCGAGCAGGTCTCTGGGGCTTGTGGAATGCAAAAATCCCTACGGGTCCATGTACCCAAATAGATATACTTTGGCCTTAAAGTAGTCCCTACATAAGTACTTTGGGGCCAATGTATATACTATTTGGGTACATGGACCCTCAGGGAATATATGGACTGATAATGTGCACTTGGTCGTGAGGGCGCAAAGGACCCAGTAATTAACACAAACAGCTACTTGTGGCGAGAAAGACCCGCGCACAACAGCGAGAGCAGAACAGAAAGAGAGATAGACAGCCGCACAAAGGGGTTGGAGAACCGGTCCATGCAATAGAACCGACACGCAAGCAATAGCAGCAGGACCTCTCAGCAAAACCAGAAACAAAGCGACAACACCAAGCAGCAGGCAAACTAAGCGCCAAGCCCGACTACTGCACCATCGTCCGAGCAGTCTAGACACGGGAAGTCTTGACCGCAAATGCGCAAATGCAACCACTACAGCCCCGCGCCGCACCCCCCCGCCCGCCCCATCCCCTCCCCGAAAAGAAAACGCATAACCACAGCACCTGTGGGCCAAGGGTACCCATGGTGAAACCTTTAAAAGCTTTTATGGAACACGTATAAATCATTATAGAACCCATAACCTGCCCTAATCCCTACACACCATCAACCGCCTACGCCCTACAAGCCCGTAGCCCCAAAACCGCTGAGTTGAAGCCAGCATCATAGAGGCCGATGTCTGCCCCGGCGAAGAAGCTAGCGAACTGCCAGCCTGGGTGCGTCTCAGCAACGCCGAAAGCCCCTTCGTTGCTTTGGGTTTCAGGGCCTGCGACAGTAATGTTCAGGATTGAAGGTCGAGAATCTGAGGGGAGCTGTGGTCGCCACCACTTGGTATTACTTTGGGGACACTGCGCACTATTGCCCATGTTTCTTCTTACGACAGATACTGAGAATTCGCTCGTTTGCTGCCTAGCATGTTGTTTCGAAGCGCTATGACCAACATGCTAGTCATTCGCATGATGATGCCACGCACATTGTTATGGCCGTGTTGACTGTATAGGCACGATATGGCGACTATGGCGACAGACCGTGCTGCTGCCTGCAAGCAATCGCCGCGACAGCAGCAACATCGTAAATTTGATACTGTTTGGCCAAAAGAAGCAGCACTGATCGCGCAAAGAGACATAGCGAGAACAGCAGCAGGAACAACCCGACGTCTCAATTTCGCTGTTATTCCTGTCGAGACTGATGCCATTGGCTGGGTAACCTCATGTTGCCAGAGCTGAGCTCCATTAAACGCCTTCCGCAAGTTTGAAGAGTTTAGGACAAGGAGGTCCTACAGGAAGTTCGAGACTACACCACCGTCAAATTCAATCGTGGCCGGCATGAGGTTGGCTGAGAGTTTATTTAGCATAAGACTCTCGCAACCGCAACCCCGAGCCCTCAACATATGTAACGTGAAATCCAGGTCTGAAGTGAGCATGCAGGTGGCCAAGCCATTTGGCCAATGCCAAAGCAGGATCGGCGGGACCCAGTGGCAAGGCTGCAGAGATCTGGAAGCTAAGCTCGTCCTGGGGCCAGGATAAGGGCTAGCAGATGGTCCTACATATACTAGACGTGGACCATAAGGCTGCTATCAGGCATGCTGCAAGGGATCATGGAGACATGAGTTCATAAGTCTCAGGCTCTCAGGTGGCAGCCTGAGTCGTACTGGCATCACACGTACTAGGGCTAGTGGAATGGTGCTGCGACTCCTACTCCCACTGCTCCTACAACTACTACCACAGCAACAACTGCTGCTACTTCGACTACTACGACGACGACCACGACTACTAGAAGGACGAAGGCGAGGGCGAGCACTTACCGCCTACTAGTAGTACTGCTGCTTGCTTCTCCTGCTCATGCTGCTGCTTTTGCTCGCTGTGCTGGCTCTTTTAGCTGGCGTTCGTGGTTGTAGCGTTTCTGCAGTTGTTTGGTATCCTCTCGTTAATCAGATAAGCGCTCATTCGATGCAGCGTTCCATTCTACTGTTGTGCGGCTAGGCCTCATAGGCAGAATCGAAGCCTCAAGGTCCGTTGGTCTAGGGTTCCGGCTTAGGATATAGTCCGGGTGGCTGGTTCCAACAGACCACACGCAGGACAAACTCCAGTCAGACCCCTCCCGTCCAGCTCACTCTGCGTGGTACCGGCATGTTCCCGGATTACAGAACCTTTGAAAGAGAATGTGTGAGCATCTCTCTATGTTTAAAATGTCTACTCGTAAGAACATAAGACGGCGTGACACATTATAGGACTAAAGCTGCTGCAGCTCCTCTGCTCAGACTAACCTTTAAAAGTCGGCGCAATCCTAAAGCCTTACAGAATTATAGATTGCTTATTGAAATGGAAGCCCAATAGCCCAATAGCGAACCATTTTCAAGGACAGCCATTCTACAGCGCTTACTTAAACTGGAACCCTAAACCCTAAACCCCTGAACCCCTGAACCCCTAATTAACCACTAAAACCCCTAACCCATAGACCACTTACCCATAAACCCCTAACCTCAAAACCCTAAACCTCTAAATCCTAAACCCCTAAACCCCATAAGCCTGTTGCCCTTCCAGCCGCCTGGAGGTCATAAACACCTGCGTCAATCCACGCTGCAGGGATGTCGGGCCTGGGCTCGAAGTTATTCCTTTTGGGTTTAGGGTTTAGGGTTTAGGGGTTAGAGTTTAGGGTTTAGGGTTTGGGGCTAGGGTTTAGGGTTTTGGGTTAGGGTTTGGGGTTCGAAGGTATGGAAAAGGTGGCTTAAGGTTTGGGGTTTAGAGTTTACGGTCTAGGGCTTATAGGGTTTAGGGTCGTCAAGTCTAGGGTTTTGGGTCTAGGGTTTTTAAAACATGCAGTGGACTTTCGCTCCAGAACCGAGAACAAGTGGACAACTACTTGGAGAATCATGGGACTTAGTAACTAGGGTTATAGTTATAATTAAGGTAACTATACTTATAACCCCAATTAAGGTACTTATAACCCTACTTACTAAGTCCCATGATCCTCCAAGTACACCGTCACATGCTGTGAGTCGCATAGAGTTAACGGTCAGGGTGTAGAGTTTACGGTTTACGGATAGCATAGCATGTGACAACAGCTTCTACACCAGGCTCGTAGACGTCGACGGTGCTTACGCTCGAGATGGCTAGATTGAAAGAACTCGCCACAAATAGAAGCCTGAACAATCACATAGCAATGCTCTTGGCTAGAAACCCCACGTAAAAGGCCCAAGTACGTAATAAAAGTACGATCGTGAACCCAAATACATCATAATGATTAGGTCCTGTGTTCTCTTTGGGAAAGTATGCTCATAGTACAAAGCTCCACAAAACGCTTAAGTATGGTTACTCTAAGGTCCTAAGATGTGAAAATCGCTTGCTTTTCGCGTACAAGCCTACAGTTCCCATAAACCTTAAAACCAAGTGCATAGAATGCAGCCCTAAACCCTGCACATAGTATGTTATGGTCCCTTATTAACGATACATAATGTAGAACACTGACAGAAATTGGTTATAACCTATCAACTATAGGGTATAATGCAGTAGGTCATTGAGGGTGAGGGCTTGGGATGCCTTTTAAAATCGTATAATTAGGTAGTAGGTTGAATATACCTTAAATCATGTTAGGGAACCTAGTACTGTTGACGATATAAACCCTGCATTACCTGAAGGACCCTAAACTATGGGAATGATGACATTTTCCTTATTATGGGTAGTGCAGAATTTATATCATCAGCCGTAGTAGTATAATTTACAGTATAATCCTTAATCAAAGGATTTTGGAAGATCTGGGTTCAAGCTTTAGAGGTGCTTCGCCGAGTCTCTCGTAGCCAAAGGCCGTAAAGGCTGCAAAGCCGCCCATGGAAATGCCTGGGCTGGGAAAGGACAGGTCTAGGGCTAATTAGGGTTAAAGTTTAGAGTTTGGGGTTTAGGGATTGGAGTTTAGGGTGTAGGGTTTGGGGTGGATGTAGGGCTCAGGGTTCATGTTCATTTGGGGTTCATGATTTGGAAGCACTTCCTTCACAGCTCTGATACTCTAGGAAGAGTTTTGGAAGGGGGGCTATGGCATTTCCTAAAAGCTAGCACGTTGCAAAGTGGACTCGGAACCGAAGTGGATATTGAACATACAGGAAAATCATGACTCGACTGAGCCCCCGCTGTGAACCCTAAACCCTGCACCCTGACAACCCTAAGATCTAAACCCTCGAAACCCGAAGCCCCAAACGTTTTGTTTATACTAAATAAGTACCAATACTACTTTGGTGGTTCCTTCTTATCAGTATGGATTATGGTATAATAAACCTCCAGAACCCTGTAAGCTTATTCAGGGAGCCCTTTCAAGGCGCCCTTACAGGGAACTCCTATAGAGCCCTTTACAGCTATGAACGTTTGAGGGGAACCCTTATAGAGCCCTTTAAAGCTATGAACGTTGAGGGGACCTCCAAAGTCGAGTGGCCCCAAAAAAGCACATAAGCAAAAATTAGGATAGGGATATCCCATATAAACCCTCTTGTAATGAAGCCCAATAAGGTAGGGATATCCCTTTCAAACGCTTATGCTTATGTGCTTTTTGGGCTCTTAAAAGTCAAGTGGCCCATCACTCCCACCTTTCTCTTATCCAGCGCTCCGCCAAGCAAGCCCTCCGGATCCTGCACGAAAACAGCTTAGAGCCGCCCGAACTACTTTTAAGGGACAGATTTGAGAGTTTAGGGTTTAGGGTGTGGAGTTCAGGGTTTAGGGGTCTTACTTCGATTTCAGAGTTTACATGTACGGTTTAGGATTTAGGATTTCATGAACTTACCTACGGTTTAGGGCTTAGGGCTCTCTAGTTTTCGGGTACTTGGGGCCCTGAAAATGAAATTCCTAGTAGGGGTCTATGTTGCATCCTGACCCGAGCATTACGTCAACAAAGTCCAACACAACTAAGAATTAGGTACACGGGTTCAGGGGTAGGTTGGTCTGTTAGGAGTACATGATGATGCGTCGGTGCTACACTTAGGGCCCAGCCTGGCCCGTAGCTCTTGAAATAACGGGAAATCATGCTAAGTTTCAAGGCCAGAACTCCTCTGTAGATCTGCTAGATGCTCATCAGTTACAATGCAAACTGATCTTCCCAAGCAAGACACTTCCTAGGTTCAAGTATGTTTGATACATAAGTTACCAAGACAAGACGATCATGTTGTTTACTATCGATCCTTATTATGATGACTTACATTGAACGCCTTAACATGAACTTGGCTTTACTAGGCAAGGTATGCCCACCAGCTTGTGAGTGCGGAACCCGAACGCCTCGAAAAGAAGTCACTCATGCCAAAAGAACTGGCAGAAACGCGTGCTAATGGGCCCTAAACGCTAAACACCACCTTGCAAAGCTCTCCATCGACTGCAGAGGTGCGCACTAGACATCCTACTAAGGATCCCTGCGTAATTTTGAGGTCTATCATAGTATACGCGTGATGCAGCTATTTGGAGACTCTGAGCAGGCTCGCCCCACAGCATAAACCCCAAAAGCTGCACCCTAAACCGAAACACTTCCTGTAGCCCCAAACACTTTATAGGGAACAACCCTAAACCTTTTCCCTAAGGCTCAAAATAGCCCAAAAGCCTTGTATATCCTTGTATGGCACAGCCAGAAAAAGACTTACTACGTAAGTGCTTGGGGCCTGAGGGTTTAAGTTGAAGGGAATAACCCTTCAAACCCTAAACCCTAATCGCCTTACTTAAGGGGAATAACCCTTGATAGGTTTTGGAATCCCGGGTTCCTTTCGGGAGCGGGCTAGCTGCGTGCTACCGCTGCTCAGGCAAGCCCCGACTACTACTGTTGGGATCCCCCGGGGTTGGGTTTTGGGGTATATTATACTACAAGTATAATAAGGAACCCTGCAAATAATCTTGGTAAGTATTTAGGCCCCTATATATAAACCCTTGCAGCAGTAGAAACCCTAAACCCTATACCCTAAACCCTAACCCTATATAAACTCTTGAAGCAGTAGGTTTTGGGATCCCCCGGGGAATTAGGTCCTCTACTGCAAAGTCCCAGGCGCCCAGGACATCCAAAAAGAGATCCTGGGAGTCGCTTCTGCTCCCGGGGCTGGGGAGTTAGGGTTTTAGAGTGTAAATCTAGGGCTCTGGCCTTGATACTGTACCTTAAACCTGGGATTCCTCCAACCTAGGACTCCTCAAACCTAGGACTCCTCAAACCTAGGGCTCCTCATTGTAAGTATATACTGTACGGGTTTAGGGGTTTAGGGTTTAGGGTTTAGGGTTTAGGGTTTAGGGTTTAGGGTTTAGGGTTTAGGGTCCATCCCCATGCCCGATTCCAAGTAGCAAGGCCCCTATGGTAGGCGTTAGGCCTGACCGAAGTTGAGGCGTAAGCCGTAAGCTATTGCTTTGTCCAGGAAGGCTATATATCGAAGGCAACACAAACCCAACAGCCCCGGGAAAGCACTGTATTCAGGAACCCGAAGGTATAGGACTATGCTATCTTTGGGGGTTCCATTATGGTTATAGTATACTATACCCCAAAACCCTAATCTAATTATCAAGGCCCCTACATTACCTGCTTCGTGCTCCTTGCAGTGGCTTCTTGATCTAATTCGACAGTGTAGAGATCCGAGTGCAGCATCTTCATATTCCAAGGCTTTTGGGCAAGAGCCATACACAAAGGGTCCTAAGTACCTACTTGGGGGATACTTACCCAAAGCATAACAGTACATGCCAAGCTGAGTTGCGTAGCCCCAGCGGATTCTCTGACCCACGCGGTGGATTCCGTGGTGCCGGAGATTCGGCAGCCTTGAGGCACATCTCTCTTCGTGGAAGCAGGGGGCATTCAGCATGTCCGTCTTCAGACAGGTATATCCCAGTTGTAACCCTTAAACTTTAAGCCCTATAAACACTATACCATATATATATATATATTCATGCATCTACTTATTTATATTTAGATTTACTTATTTGTTTCTAAAGATATAAAGAGGTATGCTTAACTGTCCAGCCCTCGATCTCAGACCCATGGTCTGACACCAACCTAACGTGGCGCAGCCCATATGCCGATCGCGATTCTCAGTGCCGAAAATTCTTTATGAAAGTAGCTTGAAAAAAATATGGTCCACAACAATCATGCAAGAAATGCCATAAGGAGCCCTGCGGAAAATAGTGCGTAAGGCCCTGGTGGTGGTGGACTTCCGTTTTCAGTTCGCGTTCGCGGGGTTTAGATCTCCTGCTGTCATTTCTTGTTCTGGTCTCGTCTACACTTCTCGTGGTTTCGGGTTTAGGGTGTGGGGTTTAGCGTTTGAAACCCTAAACAAGGCCATCTTCCAAATGCTCAGACGCCCCGGAGCTAAACAACCAGTGCACGCCTCCCCACAACAAAAAACCTAAAAAACAATCTCACATCTTTGCGGCCCAGCAGCAAGACAGAGAAGCCGATAGACCGCAAAAGGTAAGCAGTGAGCATGACCTGGGATAACTCAGTTGCTTTGTAGACTTATAAGTATCATAACCCCAATTAGTTACCCTTACCGCAAAGGACTCATATTCAAAGGCTTTTGGGCCCAACGACCCTATTATATAAGCTTTTGGGCTATATAAGCTTTTGGGCGATTTTGATGCTAAGGGTTAGGGTACTTGTCACTCTACCTAAACCCTAAACCCTGTTAGGATCTCTGGCTGTGGGTTCAGGGTTTAGGACTTCAGGAGTTGAGGATGATTCAACTAAAGGCTCTGGGTTTAGGGTGTAGGGTTAAAGGTTTGGGTTTAGGGGTTAGGGTTCAGGGTTTAGGGTTAGGGTTCAAGGGTTGGGGGTCAGGGTTTAGGGGTTAAGGGGTAAAGGTTTAGGGCAAGGTACGAGAAGCGAAGGTCTGAAGCCAGAAAAGCCTTATCGCCGGGTTTAGGGTTTTAGGGTTTAGGGTTTTGGTTTAGGGTTTAGGGTTTAGGGTTTAGGGTTTAGGGTTTAGGGTTTAGGGTTTAATGTTCCTTTGGCACTCGCTCAATGCTCCCTGGCTGTTCGTTCATACTGGTTTTGGATTGCGTGTGTTCCTCTCGCTGTCTGAAACCCCCCGAGTTTTAAAAACCTTCGAAGAGTCCTAAACCCTAGATCCAAAACCCTGGGCCCAGAACTCTTGTTAAACTCCAAGCCCCAAAAACTAGCGGACCACGAGCCAGGTAGCGGTGTTGTCGTTGAAGTCAACGTTGTTCCCGTGCTGGACGACGATGCCTTAGAGGCGGAAACAACAAGACGTACTAGGACGGAAGCCATGAACCGAAGCCAAAGTTGATGTCCAGTCGGCACTTGGTATCTGCAAGCCGTAACCCCTAATCCCGAATCTGGACTACACTTGCTGATTTCCCAAAGTACCCCGAAACCAGTACGTTACTCGGATCCGCAAACCGTGAACCCAGAGACTCCAATATCCCTTAAGGAATATACCTTAAATCATATTAGGGATCCTACCATAATTGAAGGTATATTCCTTAATTAAGGGATATTGGAGTCTCTGGGAACTCTGAACACCAAATCCGAAATCCGAAACCTCAACTCGATCTTCGCCCGGACTGTAGAGTTTCGGGACTACGGAGGCTTTTGAGGTTCGGAGTCTAGGGGGACCTGCCCGTGTATGAAATTCACAACAAAGAGGGTCCATACATACTACCATTATGGAATTAAGTCCCAAAAGACCATTCGAAGTCCACAATAGTAGTGTATATGGACCCTCTAGGTTACAACAAAGAACAACAGAATCTCTCCGAGCGTCGGGGTGTGCTGCCGTCGTCCCCGGGGGCCGGTAGCCACCAAGCCTGAGGGGATTGCTTACCCAGAGGGTCCAAAGATACTACCATTGTGGAGTTAGACTCAGTTTGGCCCCGAGAGACCATTCTAATCATGGTTTTGGGGGGACCTGATTCCATAATAGTAGTGTAGATGGATCCGCTCGGTTATATTCATGGAGTATAAGGCCATACTGCTGAAACCTGAACTCTAGAGCCGTAAACCCTGAGCCCTGAAAGCCTTAAACCCTGAACCCCAGACCCTAAACCCTGAGCCCTTAAAAAGCCTCACGACCCGAAGCCCTAAATCCTGAACCCCCAAAACCCTACATCTGACCTTTTGGACCTCTAGCTTCCGGTTCGATGAGTAGGATGCAGGGTGTTAAGAGCTTGAGGGTGTCGGGATTGAAATTCTGAACGTAGGATCAGGTGCTTGGGATCGAACGGATTGGGTGTTAGATTTGAGAGCTTGGGGGCTGATGGGGTATTGGCTTCAAGAATGCACCATGTACCCTTGCTATTTCACAGGGGGATGTTGGGGCGCCTGTTTCACCTGCAACCACATGGCTTACAGATTGGGGGCTGAGGGGTTTCAGACTTTAGGGCTAAGCTTACAGCTTGGAGCCTGGAACATACCCGCTAAACTCCCTAAAGCATAAAGCCTTGTCTCCTCCTTTTCCAAAAATCTCAAAACCGAAAACGACCAATCCGGTGCCTTCAGGTTCAACGTCTCCTGACCTGTCACTTGTCACGCATGCGGAGCAATGCTACTTCGCTTCTGTTTTCGGCTACACTTTTTGTGGAGAAGGGCGGAGGGGGTTCGGCGTGTTTACCTAGAGGCTCCATATATACTACCATTATGGAATTAAGTCCCAAAAGATCATACTTATTATGGCGTTAGGGACCTAATTCCATAGTGGTAGTAGGTATGGAGCCTCTAAGCCCTAAACCCTAAATCCTAAATCCTAAACCCGAAACCCTATACCCTATAATTCCATAATGGTCGTATATATGATCCCGGTTCGGCCGG